CCCGGGGCCCCCATGGTATATACTTTACAGGGATCAGTATTGGGGTATACATGATATATATACAGGGATCAGTATTTGCGGTAATACATGGTATATACAGGGGATCAGTATTGGGGTATACATGGTATATACAGGGATCAGTATTGGGGTATACATGGTATATACAGGGTATCAGTATTGGGTATTACATGGTATATACAGGGATCAGTATTGGGGTATACAGGGGTATATACAGGGAGGCTGTATTATGGGGTATACATGGTATATACAGGGATCAGTATTGGGGTATATATACATGGTATATACAGGGATCAGTATTTGGGGTATACATGGGTATATACAGGGATCAGTATTTGCGGTATACATGGTATATACGGGGATCAGTATTGGGGTATACATGGTATATATACAGGGATCAGTATTGGGGTATACATGGTATATACAGGGATCAGTATTGGGTATACATGGTATATACGGGGATCAGTAATGGGGTATACACGGTATATACAGGGGATCAGTATTTGGGTATACACGGTATATACAGGGATCAGTATGGGGTGTATATACAATACGGGGGATCAGTATTGGGGTATACATGGTATATACAGGGATCAGTATTGGGGGTATACATGGGGGATCAGTATTTGGGTATACATGGTATATACAGGGATCAGTATTGGGGTATACATGGTATATACAGGGATCAGTATTGGGGTATACATTGTATATATACAGGGATCAGTATTGGGGTATACATGGTATATACAGGGATCAGTATTGGGGGTAACCCCAATACTACATCCCTGGTACCATGTATACCGGGATACTGATCCCAGTATTATATACATGTATATACCGCATATCATATTGGGGTATCCCTGTATATACATGGGATCAGTACTGGTGGTATACATGGTATATACAGGATCAGTATTGGGGTATACATGGTATATACAGGGATCAGTATTTGCGGTATACATGGTATATACAGGGATCAGTATTTGCGGGTATACATGGTATATACAGGGATCAGTATTGGGGGGTATACATGTATATACAGGGATCAGTATTTGCGGTATACATTGTATATACAGGGATCAGTATTGCGGTATACATGGTATATACAGGGATCAGTATTTGCGGTATACATGGTATATACAGGGATCAGTATTTGCGGTATACATGGTATATATACAGGGATCAGTATTTGGGGTATACATGGTATATACAGGGATCAGTATTTGCGGTATACATGGTATATACAGGGATCAGTATTGGGGTATATACATGGTATATACAGGGATCAGTATTTTGCAATATACATGGTATATACAGGGATCAGTATTGCGGTATACATGGTATATACAGGGATCAGTATTTGCGGTATACATGGTATATACAGGGATCAGTATTGGGGTATACATGGTATATACAGGGATCAGTATTTGGGGTATACATGGTATATACAGGATCAGTATTTGGGTATACATGGTATATACAGGGATCAGTATTTGGGGTATACATGGTATATACAGGGATCAGTATATTGCGGTATACATGGTATATACAGGGATCAGTATTGGGGTATACATGGTATATACAGGGATCAGTATTGGGGTATACATGGTATGGTATATACAGGGATCAGTATTTTGCGGGTATACATGGTATATACCAGGGATCAGTATTTGGGGTATACATGGTATATACACAGGGATCAGTATTGGGGTATACATGGTATATACAGGGATCAGTATTTGCGGTATACATGGTATATACAGGGATCAGTATTGGGGTATACATGGTATATACAGGGATCAGTATTGGGGTATACATGGTATATACAGGATCAGTATTTGCGGTATACATGGTATATACAGGGATCAGTATTGGGGTATACATGGTATATACAGGGATCAGTATTTGCGGTATACATGGTATATACACAGGGATCAGTATTTGCGGTATACATGGTATATACAGGGATCAGTATTTGCGGTATACATGGTATATACAGGGATCAGTATTGGGGGGTATACATGGTATATACAGGGATCAGTATTGGGGGTATACATGGTATATACAGGGATCAGTATTGGGGTATACATGGTATATACAGGGATCTGCAGCGCTGTGTACAGAGATACAGGCGAAGCCTCATCAGGTCCGGAGAAGCAGACACGGTGCTGCAATGCTGGGCATACACAGGGAGCGGGCAGAGTCAGCGCTGGATACAAAGATATAGACACACAGTGATGGGAGGTAGGGTTGGATAGAGCTATGGCAGAAGGGCCCCTGGCACTCACCTCCTCGGGGGCCCCGGCTCCTGGCTCCAGCAGACATTTAATTCTCCAGGACAGGCTGAACATGGCACTTCCCACACATTACACAGCCCGGACTTCAGGAAGCGTCAGGTGCAGCGCCGAGCGACAGTGAGGCAAACCAATCGGCTTCCAGCTACATCCTTGCGCGGCAAATCAGCAGCCAGACAGCCAGGCGGGAGGCGGGACTATGCAGATAGCAGTGTCTGGAGCAGTGCGCAGGTGCTCGTCTCTCGCTCAGTGCGGTGACAGGAGGGGTGCGGGGGGCGCTGTGCAACACACAATGATAAGGATACAGTGTGACCAGAACATGAGGAGGGGGATGTGTCCCTGACCATCATATGAGGGGGATATAACGTGAACTGAACACGGACAGAGCTATATTATGAACTGAGCAAGAGGAAGAATAGAGTGTGACCAGAATTGGGGGCATACAAGTGACCAGAACATGGGAGGGGGGATTATGCCACTGACCAGAACATGGAGAAGGATATGTCACTAGAACCTAGGTATATAATGGGGCAGAAACATACAGTGTGACCAGAAAATAGGGAGGATAAGGGTACAATGTGAACAATACATTGTCACTAGAACATGAAAATGGATAGTGTCACCAGAACGTGAGGAGGGGACAATGTGACCAGAACATGAGAGGATTCGATGCAACTAGAACATGAGGAGGGGACAATGTGACCAGATACATGAGGGGATTCAATGTACCTAGAACGTGAGGAGGGGACAATGTGACCAGATACATGAGGGGAATCAATGTACCTAGAACATGAGCGGAGGGGGCAATGTGACCAGAACATGACAGGATTCGATGTACCTAGAACATGAGGAGGGGACAATGTGGCCAGATACATGAAGGGATTCAATGTACCCTAGAAACGTGAGGAGAGGACAATGTGACCAGAACATGAGGGGATTCAATGTAACCAGAACATTAGGAGGGGACAATGTGAGCAGAACATGAGGGGATTCAATGTAACCAGAACATTAGGATGGGGGGGGGACAATGTGAGCAGAACATGAGGGGATTCAATGTAACCAGAACATGAGGGGGACAATGTGACCAGAACATGACAGGATTCAATGTAACCAGAACATTAGGAGGGGACAATGTGACCAGATACATGAGGGGATTCAATGTAACCAAAACATTAGCAGGGGGCAATGTGACCAGAACATGAGGGGATTCAATGTAACTAGAACATGAGGGGGACAATGTGACCAGAAAATGAGGGGATTCAATGTAACTAGAACATGAGGGGGACAATGTGACCAGAAAATGAGGGGATTCAATGTAACCAGAACATTAGGAGGGGACAATGTGACCAGAACATGAGGGGATTCAATGTAACCAGAACATGAGGGGAACAATGTGACCAGAACATGACAGGATTCAATGTAACCAGAACATTAGGAGGGGGCAATGTGACCAGATACATGAGGGGATTCAATGTAACCAGAATATTAGGAGGGGGCAATGTGACCAGAACATGAGGGGATTCAATGTAACTAGAACATGAGGGGGGACAATGTGACCAGAAAATGAGGGGATTCAATGTAACCAAAACATTAGGAGGAAGACAATGTGACCAGAACATGAGGGGATTCAATGTAACCAGAACATTAGGAGGGGACAATGTGGCCAGATACATGAAGGGATTCAATGTACCTAGAATGTGAGAAGAGGAGGACAATGTGACCAGAACATGACAGGATTCAATGTACCTAGAACATGAGAGGGGGACAATGTGACCAGATACATGAGGGGATTTAACAGACCCCAGATCTCTCCATAAAGAAGACCTGTCACAGCCCATGCTATTACAAGGGATGTTGTTAATAGCAATAAAGTTGATAAAAAGTACAGGTACAGTATTAAAAATATTTTCAAGAAAAAAAATTAAATTAAAAAAAAATGTTTAAAGCACCCCCTTTACCTCATGCTCACATATAGTTACATAGTTTAGTTTGGTTGAAAAAAGACACAAGTCCATCTAGTTCAACCAATACAAGGGGGAAAATTATACAATCCTATATATACACAATACTACACCCACAGCTGATCCAGAGGAAGGCAAAAATAAACCAAGAAAGCATGATCCAATTTGCTTCAGTAGGGGAAAAAAATCCTTCCTGATCCCCTAGAGACAATTGGATATTCCCCTGGATCAACCTTACCTATAAATGTTAGTATCCAAATATATTATGTGCATGTAGGAAAGAATCCAGGCCTTTTTTAACCACCTCCCCGCCCGCCATATAGTAAAATGATAGATGCAAGGTGGTTCTCTCGTTCTGGTGAGGACGTTGTATGACATTCTTACATTCTAACCGCGCATGCGCGGCTCCAGAAGCGATCGGTGGTGGGCTGTGTCCCTCGGACACAGCGGATCACCGATCAATGGAAAGAGCCGAAGATGTCAGCTTGGTTCATGTGATCAGCTGTGTCCAATCACAGCTGATTGCATGTAAATAGGAAAATGCCGGTTATCGGCATTTCTCTCCTCACGAGATGTCACGCTGACAGCTCGAGAGGAGAGCTGGTAATTGACATCCCTCAGAGGGGACATATACACTGGTCATCAGGGCACTGATGAACAGTGTGCCCTGATGATCTGTGTAGCCCCCAGCAGTGCCACTTGTCAGTGTCCATCAGTGCCAGCTGTCAGTGCTCAATCCATGCCACCTGCCAGTACCCATCAGTGCTACATCAATGCCACATTTCAGTGCCTACCAGTGCACATCAATGCCACATATCAGTGCCCATCTGAGCTGCCTTTCAGTGTCACCCATCCAGGGGCGGACTGACAACTAATGGGGCAATAGGGGATCATGGGGCCCATGTCCTTGCCCAAACTCAAAAAAGCCTATGAAAAAAGTACCAGGGGCATCTCATGGGGCCCCCTACTGACCCTGGGCCTCGGACAGTGCCGAGTTTTGAAATGGTCAGTCCGCCCCTGCACCTATCAGTGCCACCTATCAAAGCCAGTCAGTGCCACCTATCAGAGCTGCCAATCAGTGCCACCTATCAGTGCCAGTCAGTGCCGCCTATCAGTGTGCATCAGAGCCGCCTAACAGTGCCAGTCAGTGCCACCTAACAGTGCCAGTCAGTGGCGCCTATCAGTGCCAGTCAGTGCCGCCACTCAGTGCCGCCTATCAGTGCCATATATGAGTGCTGCTTTCAGTGCCCATCAGTGATGCCTGTCAATGCCCATCAGTGCCACCTACCAGTGCCTCCTCATCAGTGCCCATCAGTGCCACCTATCAGTGCCCATCAGTGCAGCCTATCAGTGCCCATCAGTGCAGCCTTGTTAGCGCACATCAGTGAAGGAGAAAAATCACTTATTTACAAAATGTGTTATAACAAAAAACTAAGAAAAAAATTTTTTTTTTTCAAACTTTTCTGTGGTTTTTGGTTTGTTTAAGAAAAAATAAAAAGCCCAGAGCTGATTAAATACCACCAAAATAAGGCTCTATCTATCACAAAAAAATGATAAAAAGTTCATATGGGTACAGTATTGCATGACCGCGCAATTGTCATTCAAACTGCAACAGCGCTGAAAGCTGGAAATTGGCCTGGGCAGGAAGGGGGTATAAGTGCCCGGTAGGCGAGTGGTTAAAGCAATTTATTGTGCTGACCAGAACCAACTCTTGAGGGAGTCTATGCCACATTTTCAAAGCTCTCTCTGTGAAGAAGGCTTGATTTGGGGATTAAATCTCTTTTCCTCCAGACGTAAAGAGTGCCCCCTTGTCCTCTGTGATGACCTCAGGGTGAATAACTACACCGAGTTCACTATATGAACCACTGATGTATTTATACATGTTGATCATATCCCCCCTTAATCTCCTCTTCTCAAGAGAGGATATAAATTCAGTTCCTCTAATCTTTCCTCATAGCTGAGCTCCTCCATGCCTCTTATCAGTTTGGTTGCCCTTCTCTGTACTTTCTCCAGTTCCTCGATATCCTTTTTCTGAATTGGTGCCCAAAATTGAACTGCATATTCCAGAAGAGGTGTTACTAATGATTTGTACAGGGGTAAAATTATATATTTCTCTCTGCAGTCCATATCAATACAAGAGAGGATTTTGCTTGCTTTGGAAACTGCAGCTTGACATGCTATCATTAATCTTACGATCTACCAGAACTCCCAGATCCTTCTCCAACATTGATTCCCCCAGTTGTACCCCCCCCCCCCCCCAGTATGTATGATGTATGCATATTCTTAGCCCCCAAGTGCATAACCTTACAGTTATCAACATTAAACCTCATTTTCCAAATAGTTGCCGAATTAAACAGTGCATTGAGGTCGGCTTGTAAATTGGAGACATCCTGTAAGGACATTATTCCACTGCACAGCTTGATGTCATCTGTAAAGAATGAGATAATGCTTTTAATCCCAAACCATATATCATTTATAAATATATTAAAAAGTAAGGGTCCCAACACTGAACCTTGGGGTACTCCACTAACAACCCTAGACCATTAAGTATGAATCATTAACCACTACTCTCTGAATACGATCTTTTAACCAGTTTTCTATCCATTTACATACTGATTTTTCCAAGCCTGTAGACTTTACCTTACACATTAGCCGTGTGTGTGAAGAATGGTATCAAACACTTTTGCAAAATCCAAGTACACCACATCCACCGCCACCCCTCTATCCAAGGTTTTGCTCACCTCCTCACAAAAAGAAATCAGATTTGTTTATCAACTTCTGTTTTTTATGAATCCATTCTGTCTGTTACTTAAAATATTTTTTTCTAGCAAAAACCCATCTATGTGGTCTTTTATTAAACTCTTCTGTATTTTCCTGACTATAGAAGTTAAACTAACAGGTCTATAGTTTACTTGGTATAGACTTTAAACCCTTTTTTAAATATAGGCACCACATTGGCCATATGCCAATCCAGTGGTACTATGCCAGTCATTAAAGAGTCCCTAAAAATTAAAAATGATGGTTTTGAAATGACAGAGCTTATTTTTTAGGATCAGTGAATGTATGCCATCCAGTCCAGGTGCCTTAGGTACCTTTATTCTGTCTAAATATTTCTGGACCATATCAATTCTGAGCCATTGTGGATCATTTGGGGCTGTGTCATTATCATCCCCATTATGGTCATGAGCTCCCCCATGCTCCTTTGTATACACAAAGTTGAAGAAGGTAGTTAATACATTTGCCTTCTCTTTGTTTCCAGTCATTCTCTCCAGATTATTTTGTAAAGGGCCTGCATGCTCAGACCTGACCTTTTTATTATTAATATATTTTAAATATTTTGGGGGGTTTGTTCTACTTTATTTTGCAATCTGTTGTTCGTTTTGAATTTTTGTGTCCCTGATTTCCTGTTTACATATCCTGTTATATGCTTTGTAACACTTAAACGATGATAATGTTCCTTCATTTTTATATTTTTTTAAGCTCTTTTATTAATATTTATAATATTATATTTTTTTAACTTTGGACATGAGTCACATAGGGTTTATTTTTAGCCTTTTTATACTTATTGCCCATGGGAATATATTTTGCAGTGTGTTGACATGCAGTCTTTTTGGATGACTGCAGTGAGATCTGTCACCGGCTGTATCCATCGTACACAGCCGTTGATTTATCTGTGTACTGGGCCATTGCCAGTACCATGTGACTGCTGTTTCCAATCTTCCTTTCATGCCATCCATTGTATACAATTGTGCTGCTAGCTGTGATTGGTCAGTGATCACATGGTACAGATTGGGCAATTCACAGCCCACCTGTGTCATATGATCAGCTGTAGCCAATCTCAGCTATTCACAACAAAATAAACTGAATGAATCGATTTCATTCAGTAAAATGTTTGTTTTTATAGCAATTACATTCATTGCTATAAGCAAACATAATGTGTAAAAAAAATACTGATCACTTCCCCAGAGTAGTGCAATGTTACTATGGTAACATTATAAAAAAATATAATTTTTTTCCGTATTGTCACCAGTCAGTGTCTCTGATCACCACCACACCAGTTACATGACAATGCTGTACGGCACTGATGACAGTATGTAAAAAAACAATTGTGAAAAAAATAACAAGTCAAATGCTTGCTTATAGCAATCGATTTCATTCAGTAAAATGCATGTTTATAGCAATGACATTCATATAAGCAATCATAATGTGTAAAAAAAATACTAATCACTTCCCCAAAGTAGTACAGTGTTACTATGGTTATATTATATTACTCTGGTCACAGGGTGTTATACAAAAAATAAAAAAAAAAGAAAACAGAAAAAAAATGTAATAAAAAAAAAATTGTGTTTTTTTTGTACTGTCACCAGTAAATGTCCCTGATCACCACCACACCAATCATATGATGATGCTCTGCACTGGTGACAGTATGTAAAAAACAAAGTTGTGAAAATGTTTTTTTAATTTCTTAATTTTTTCCACAAAATTATGACAAAAAATGACAACTTCTAAAAACTCGCCATGCCTCTTACTAAATACCTCCGACTGTTTACTTTCCAAAAGTGGTAATTTGGGGGATATCTGTACAGTCCTCCCTCTCTCTCTCCCCCCCTCTCTCTCCCCCCCTCTCTATCTCCCTCCTCTCTTCTCTCTCTCTCTTCTCTCTCCTCTCTCCCCCCTCTCTCCCCTCTCTCTCTCCCCCTCTCTCCCTCTCTCTCTCTTCTCTCTCCCTCCTCTCCCTCCCTCCTCTCTCTCTTTCTGATTGGTGTCAGTGGGAGGAATAGTGCCCCATCATTAGTGCCAGTGTGGGAGGAATAGTGCCCCATCATTGGTGTCAGTGTGGAAGTAATAGTACCCCATCGTTGATGTCAGTGGGAGGAATAGTGCTCCATCATTAGTGCCAGTGTGGGAGGAATAGTGCCCCATCATTGGTGTCAGTGGGAGGAAGTGCCCCATCATTAGTGCCAGTGTGGGAGGAATAGTGCCCCATCACTGATGTCAGTGGGAGGAATAGTGCCCCCATTGTTGGTGTCAGTGGGAGGAATAGTGCCCCATTATTGATGTCAGTGGGAGGAATAGCGCCCCATCGTTGTCAGTAGGCGGAGCTCTAATAGGAAGAGGTGGAGCCTAAATAGAAAGGGGTGGGGTTTACAGATGAAGGGGTGGATCTTAAACAGGAAGGGGTGGGACAAATTTAGATGCGGGGGGGTGCCCGATTTTAGTCTTGCCTAGGCAGCACAAAACCAAAATACACCACTGGCTCTGGATCCTGTGATTCACACAATATAAAGCTCTTCAGTGTGTAGGATTTATAATTTTTAAACTACAACCGTTTGAAGATGGCAACCGCCAGTGAAGTGAGCAGGTTGGAACAGTTTGATTTTAACCGCTCTTCTTTGCCCTTGCTGTAGAGCAGTGTTTCTCAACTCCAGTCCTCATGGACCCCCAACAGGTCATGTTTTCAGGATTTACATTATTTTGCACAGGTGATTTGATCAGTTTCACTGCCTTAGTAATTACCACAGCTGTTTCATCTGAGGGAAATCCTGAAAACGTGACCTGTTGGGGGTCCATGAGGACTGGAGTTGAGAAACACTGCTGTAGAGTGAGTTGCCATAGGAACCCAGGTGTGTGAGCAGGCAGCAGAGTGACAAAAGCTAGAGTGTGAGCTGAAAAATCAGGACATGATTTCTAAACTGCCACCACTCCCTCATTTTCAAGCTGTAGACTACTGGTGGAGGCAAAAACACTTCACACAATTTCCCCAGAAATTGTAGCTTTTCTAGTGTTAGAATTAATGCCCTTGATCTGACGTTCACGGTGATACCTCACATGTATGGCGCAACCGCTGTTTACATACTGGCACAGGGTCAATGCTTGTGCATACAGGTGTGCACACATGGGAGGGGCGAGTTTTTGTTTTTTTTATTTTAAGTTATTTTTATTTTTTTTTATTATTTTTACACTGTACCTTTAATTTTTTTTTATCACTGTTAATGCTATCACAGGGAATGCAAATATCCCCTATAACTTCAATGGACATTGTCTAATATTCTTTCTTCAGAAATCTGGGGTCTATCAGACTCTAGATATTTCCTCTTCCCTTACATTATTATCTAATCAAACCAAAATCGGTGTGATCAGATGCTTTCACAATTTACAAATGGCGCTGTTTATATCCTGCAAAACTGAAGTGATGAAATGCTTGTAGCTTCTGATTTCTTAGGCTATAGAGATGATCGGCACCACTCTGGTCTCCAATC